TTTTTAAAATTAAAAAACTACATAATACTTATACTTATATATGTAAGTATTAAATGTAATAAATGTGATAGTAAATTGCATTTAATATGTTTCATCATTCATTATTTCAAAATTTTATTTTAAAAATTATTTACATTCTAATATTAATTTTTTTTATTCTACCTGTGTAATACATGGGTTTTAAACCTAGTCTATATATAATATATATACAAATACTTCTAATATATAAGTTCTTCATGCAAATGCGTAAATCTGTTGGATTAATCGGTTTATCACAAGAGAAAATTCGGGACTATTTAGTTCTAGGGGTATTTTAGGACTCTGGGACAATTTAGTTCTAGGGGTATTTTAGGAAACATTCATTTTATGCAGTTTTTGTGTTAGAGTACGAGTCTAGTTTTATTAGTATAAACTAGGCGAATGCCCGCGCAACATACAATAATAAATTTAAAATATATGTTGTTTAAATATAAAAATGTCATAGTTAACTTTGATATAATAATTATTATACTAATTTAGTATAAAATATTAATTATTTTGAATTATATGATCATATTAAATCTATTAAAACTATATAGGCTTAATCGTCTCACTGAACTCTATCAGCATGTTACTCATAAATAAAATTAAATAAAGTATATAAATTAATGTTATTTATAGTTGTTGTTATGATTAATTACTTTAAAAAAATTAGATTTTAAAAACTACATTTGATTAACTTTTTAATTTATATTATTGTAGTTATTTAAAACATCAAACATTATTTTGTTTTTAAAGGTAACAATATTATTTTTAACTATTGTCGTTGTAAGATATTTGTAAGATATTTATTTAGAAATTATTAATGTTTATAAAAATAGTTTTAGGAAATATTTTAATTGATTTGGGATTACAATTTAGTTTTTACGTTTAACACTATAATTTATAACTTATAACTATTTACAAAATAGTCATTGAATTTTCTTTAAGTTTAATTGAAATTTTCATTTAAGTTAGTAAATTAACACTGTATTTAAATTAACAATTTAAGTATTTTATACAAATTATTTAAAAGTTGTGACTTTAAACTCACAATTTAAGAAATAACATATTAAAACTAAGTATAAGTAAAATATGTTAATTTAAGATTCAAGTTTACTTAATTTTAGGATTATAGTTAGCGTTTTACACCTATTTAACATTATTAAAAAATGTATAATCATTATTAGAAAGAAATTGAAAAGTAATGAGAGTTTCAAATACACGCGATAAAAAGAAAAATATATCTTTCAGATTAACATGGAAAGTTTAAAATATTCATGACTTTTACTTAGTTACTTTTTTGAACCGGTACAAAACAAACGATAATATTTAACATATTTAATTAAATATTATCTACATCACGGTATATAACATATGATCGATAACATCTATCTGATCTAATATATATTAACCATTAAAGCACAACATACAACAATTGTATTAAAAGAATCCAAAACCAAGAAAAATATATAAATAATTAGTATATAACAAACTTACAAATTAAAAGCTATAACATAATAATATATCTCGAAAAGTGGTAGTAAGACCTCAAACCAACACAAAAACCTTTAAGCTTGTTTTCCTTATGAAGTTTGTATGTGATTTGTATGCATGTCTACCCAAAAGATTGATCCTTTTATAGTAAACGTTTCATTAAGTGCTTATTATTCATAATATAAGTTATAAAACATTTGAGTGTTAAATCATTATTAAGAAGACTTTTTAGTTGTATTAGTTAAAAGATGGGTTTCAAATAAATGTGGTTTGAGCAAAAATGGTTCTATATAGTCTTGGGAGTTTCAAATGCATGAGGTTCAAGGACAAATACTAGCTTTATAAGATAGACTAGACGAATGTCCGCGCGTTGCGCAGAGACACCTATATAGTTGAAATCTTTACAAATATAAGTTTTTTTTAATATAACAATAACATTGTTGTTAAATTTGATATAATAATTCGTATGCTAAATTGATATAATATATTGATTATTTTGAAATATATGATAATATATACATCTATTATAACTGCATAATCTCAACCGCTTGAATGACTTCTACCTGCGCGTTACTCATGAATAAAATTAAATATAATATATGGTTTAATGTTATTTATAGTTGTTATTGTTAATTATTTTTTTAAAATTTATTTTCTTAAAGTTTTAATTTCTATCATTATAATTATTAAAAACATCAAACATTGTTTTTTGATTTTAAAGGTAACAATATAATCATTTATATAGAATTATTTTTAACTATTGTTATTGTAAGTTATTTTAAGCTACTTATTTGAAAACTTTTAATGATTACAAAAACATCTTTAGGAAATATTTTAGTTTAATTGAGATAACAATTTAGTTTTTGCATTTAGCACTATAATTTATCACTTTTAACTATTCACAAAATATTCTTTGGGTTTTTTAAGTGGAACTGAAATATATATTTAAGTTGACATTGTAATGTTATATTTAAATTAACATTTTAAGTATTTTGTTCAAACTGTTCAAAAGTTGTAGCTTTAAACTGATAATGGTTTACATACAACAACATATTAAATATAATAAATTAAGTATAATATACTTTATAAATAAAAGTAAATATATTATTTTAAAATTGAAATTTAGTTTATTTATGATTACACTTTAGGTTTGATATTTATTTAATCTTATTAACCAACTTATAATCAGTATTAGAAAGACTCTACAATTTATCACTTTTAACAATTTACAAAATATTCTTTGGGTTGTTTAAGTTCAACTAAAATTTATATTTAAGTTGACTTTGTAATGTTATATTTAAATTAATAATTTAAGTATTTTATACAAATTGTACAAAAGTTGTAACTTTAAAATGATAATGGTTTATATCCAACAATATATTAAAACTAATAAATTAAGTACTATAATATATTAAAAGTTAAAAAACATAACTTTATAAGTAGAAGTAAATATATTCTTTTAATATTGAAATTTAGTTTATATATGATTACACTTTAGGTTTGATATTTATTTAACCTTATTAACCAACTTATAATCATTATTAGAAAGAAATTGAAAAGTCATAGGAGTTTCAAATGAATGTGGTGAAAGGAAAAATGCATGGGAGTTTCAAATGAATGTGGTGAAAGAAAAAATGCTTCCTTTATAATATAGTATGATATGATAACGTTAATATTTAGGATGTTTAAGTTAACTTTTTCTAGCAATAAAGTTCACCAAGTAATTCCTCGTTCTTGTTCTTTTCTTCTTCTTTGTCCAGTTCATATCTTGGGCGTCAAGGTAATATCATGTGATATACCTACATTTGGTATCAGAGCGAAGGTTGAAGAGAGTTGGTTTCAAGAAAAGTGTAGGCCTTCACTGCAGGGCGGACATAGCGAGAGGTTTCATTGAAGGGGGTGTGATTCGAGGTTGATTACAACCAACCCCGATTTCTCTTAATCGGGCTTGTGAGTGACTAACCGGAGGCGCGGAATAAACGGACGGGAAGACGTCAAAGCGGGTGGCTTTGATACAGTTCGTTTTGTGGGTGACGGAAGACGGTAAAGGTGGTCGTGACCTTGTCTTGTTGTTCGGTGGAAAAGTGCTCTCGAAACAAGTTTGATTAGGTCGGGGTTGTTAAAAGGAGAATAAGATGTCGTTGGTTAAAGAAGGAGGTTTGATGACGTTTCAAGTTCCGGTTTTGACTCCAACAAATTATCCGGTGTTGGGAATCAAAGTCAAGTTGATAATGGATGCATACGACATATGTGAGAAGGATGAACCGAGGGCGTTCGATGGAAGAATCTCTCGGAATATGATGGATCAGCAAAGGTATGACTGTCAAGACAAGAAAGGAATGGACAAACAACACAGTGTGAACATTATGGCGGTGGAAGTTTAAATCGGGTGGATTTGGATGTGGTCGGGGAGAGGTCGTTGATCCGGGATAAGTCGAGATGGTAATGAACATGTCCAACAAGTTGCCATGGTATATGTCACATGTGTTGTCACCAATTAAAATGAGTTGTTAGAAGACTTTGGATGTGACCGAGATGGAGGTCGGGTGTCCGGAAAAGTCGAGAATCGAGATGGTTCGAAAAGAAGGTGATTAAACATTGTTTTGAACGAGTGGCCGGTATGACTAAACCAATTAAGGGGGTGATTGTTAGATTAATTGGTTTATCACAAGAGGAAATCTAGGACAATTTAGTTCTAGGAGTATTTTAGGAAACATTCCTTTTATGCAGTTTTTGTGTTAGAATAGGAGTCTAGTTTTACTAGTATAAACAAGGTTAATGTTTAGGATGTTTAAGTTAATTTTTTCCAACAATAAAGTTCACCAATAATTCCTCGTTCTTATTCTTTTCTTCTTTTTTGTCCGGTTCATACCTGGGCATCAATGTAATATCAGGTGATATACCTACAAAATCAGTGCCAATCATGTGGTATCTTGAGTAGTAAATAATTTTAATTATCTAGAATTTTGGTATATTTGCAGATGACGCAGAAAGTAACACGTATTATATGAGGATCCATTTTGTATTCCTAAAAACCATTTTGTAGTTTGAGTTGATATTGGTATGATGCTTGCACTTGGCTATAGAAGGAAATTTTGCAGAGGTGATGAGATATATATAGGTTGTGTAAGTGACACGTATGGACTCCACTGGAAAAGAATGCCAAGAATGATCCCACATGAGGAGGATTGAGGTGGGTGGGTGGTATGGCCCATTTCACCTTCTTATTCTGTCTGGACTTGAGGTTTTTTCATAAAAATGATCATTTTCATGAAAGGTATGTATATCGATTGGATGAAAGCCTCTTTCATATCTGGTTGGGGTTTTCCCATCAATCGAATTACAAGGCGCAACATTTGATTCTTAATTATGACCAAAAGAAATCATTTTGTATATAGCCGGAAACTCAGTTTTTATGTTTGATCTGAAAGGAGTCGCACGTGCACAAGAATTTAAATTAAAACTAGTTATTCAACAAATACTTTATATACAAGACAAGTTGAGCGAGCATTACGGGGACTATAATTAAAGATTATTAGAAATTACAAATAATTAAATAAGAGATGATGATTATGTCTTGCTAGCTAGCTACTTTCCTTATTTAGCAAACCCTACTCACTCTGACTTTGACCAGTGAGCACTGGGGGCGGGTCGGGTGGCATTGGCATTGTAAAGCTACCATAATAATTTTCTTCTCTTCATTTCATCTATGATAATTTCTACATGCTGATGATCTGATTAGAGCTCTCTATCAGTCTATCTTCTTCACTACTTTCTCAACAACATCTCAGATTCATCTGTTTTTGCAAACCTTCCTCTGATCCTTGGCTGACTGTCCGCCAAAGCCTTCCTGCAAGCATACTGAAAAAAACAAAAAAAACCCAGAACCAGAAACCAATAATTACCAAATTAAATTAATAAAAATAAAACCAACTACTTGTGCTTAAGCAGGTCTAGAAATGTGCATTAAGAATCTAAAATATGTGATAGATAATCTATAATTACCTTGATTTTTCTGCCAAAATTCCTCTTTGTTTTCTTGTTCCTGTATCTTGAGAGCTTTTGCATACGGTCTTCAATGGCACGCTCACTGATTAGTGGTGGCTGCCACCCAAGCCCGAGGGGATATTGAATCAGTCCCGTGTTGGTGTTTGCATCCGCAAGGGTCTGTCATAAAAGAAAAAGAAAAACCAGTATCAATATAAGGAAGAACTGAAGTTGGCCTTTTTCTTGATTGATTCTATATTACCAGATAAGTTTGTGTTTTGCTCGATTGTCCCATGCATGTTTTTTTAGGTCTTTGCATAATAACTGGGCTCAGAGTGGTAAATATTTGTAGTTAACAGATGGAGGTGTTTTAAAGCCAAGGTTTAGTAACCCTTTACAGATTCTTTTTAGTTAATACTCCATGTTTGAAATACAAACATCTGAATCATACAAACTCTATTCTCATATGCATATACAATGTAGAAAATAAATCGAATATGACCTTTATGTCTCCATCACTGAAAGCCCTTCGCATACCATAAGCATTCCCAAAATCTAATTCACTGAAATTCAGAAAACTTGGAGCCCCTTGAATCCAATCCATTGAGTTTAAACTATCAGCGCTCATGCTTTTTGGGATTTGACATGATGGATGGACGTTCTCCTTTGCAACCGTGTTTTCATCTCTTGTAACCACCGGGAAACTGAAACTTAGGACTTCAGATAATGGTGATGATTCGGTTGCTGCTGCTTCTTGAGCCAAGATGTTTTTACATTCATAGAAAACATCATTCAGAAACTCTTCGTTCTGCAGTGATTCGATATCTGTAACTTTGAGTTCTTGGGGGGAAATGGTGTCTTCTCCACAAGTGATCATTGCAATTGCAGATGTCATAGGATCAAGGCTGATTAATGGTTGTTCAATTATAGGTTCAGGTGCTTTGAAAAGATCCCCTTCGCCCCCAAGATCATAATCTGATATAGTGGAGGTCTGAATTAGGTTATCCTGAACATACCAAATAAAGATTCATTAGAAACCACAAGCATTTTCATTTAACAATCAATCAAGAAACGAACAAATCATATATGAAATAATACATGACTCCCAAATGTCTTAGCTAGCAAACAGAGAACAAAAATTGAATTTATAAAAAGAAATCTTGAGAGAATAGCTATACCCTCCACTATCGTAAAGACCCAATGGTCTGATTTTAGGGTTAAACTACTACAACTTGATCCATTAGAGACAATGTAATGAAGCAGACGATTTTTTAATTTTTTGTGAAAATGGAAACCGATGGTGAGGTAAGACTTACGAACACTCAAGAATATTATGGGGTTGGCTTGTAGCGCACTGGTTCGCATTTAAACAAGTGAGAAAGATCAAAAGCAACTTTATGAGGTCAATTGCCTTTAGTGAGATTATAATTTCCGTAAATCAAAACTATTGGAGCAAATTACTATAGAAGTGGTACCTTTGCTTTAGCTTTTCCATTTATCCTACTTTTTTTTTGGTTGATTTGAGTTCTGGTGAGTGCGGTGAAAAGGTGAATCTTTAATACAAGTTGACATCAGATATTAACAAATTGAGGAATGGGTAAACAATAAGATAGCTGAATATGTCCCTTCTATTCAAGAACATTGGAAAACAACACTGAAATGGACATTAATCAACGATTCTCACTACCCTTTCACAATGGGAAAGAACGAATATATACATCCACACACAACTCTCTTTGATTGCCAAGAAAATTCTTGAGCATTTCTTGAAATCTTCGCCAGTTCCTGAAGGAATTCAAAAGGGGTTTCTTGATAACTAAAATAAGTTCATGAATCAGTTAATTTCTTAATCCCTCAGGAATGAAGAAGATAGCAAGAAGTCAAAAACCACCAAGAACCCATCTTTGGAGGTTTAATCGCTACACTAAGTAACACATAATATTACGATAACTAGCTATACGATAAAGTAACCATGCATTTCAATCAAAAATCTCAAAAACCCTAAATCATACATGCATATATATAAGACCTAATCAAATACAGCATTCAAGGTGATGGAAAGAAGAACGGATTTAACAGAGTACGATTAATAGAGAGAAAAAAGAAAGGCCGTAAATGGAATTACCAAGCAAGTAATAGACTTCTGTGAGTGACAGAAATCATCAAATTGTTGAACATCAGTTGAGAAGTTCTGAAAATAAGGAAACATTAGGCCAGTCTCAGCATACACTTCTGGTTTTCTTTTAAAAAATAGATGATCTTTTTTTTTTTTTTTCTGGTTTTTTATTCTCCTCTCAAGAAACTTGAGAGCTCTGAGGTTAAAGATACACACACCCGAATTGACTTTCAAAGGTGAAAAAGTGAGTGTTTTTTCACATTAAGAAGCCAAAAACCAAGCTGCAAAACCAGCAGCAAGTGGAAGTAACATAAAGGCAGCAAGAAGGTAGAATTAAGAAACGGGAAGAAGATTCAATTCAAGCACAAAAGAACAGAGAGGAGGAGGAGGAGGAGGATGAGAGGTCCTCTCTATGATGATTTTGTATTTGTATGGACGGACTATGGAGTTCATGTACCTGCTTCATTGATTTATATGGGGGCCTGTGACTACAAGCCGACAGCAGTTGTGGACCCCATGCACATTGGTCCAAACTATAACTATACATATATAAATGTGTATGTAGCTCTCCACAATTACATTTATATAACAATTTGATAATGCAATTAGTGGTATTCTTTTCCATATATGGTACTTATAAATATCTGGTTTATCATTGTTTTTTGTGCCATCCAGTTTAAAAGCATGTCGAATAAACCAATACTCATTTACATCTCATTCAACTGTTGCTAAACACAATAAATAAAAGAAATTAAATAACCTTCTATTTTTTTTCCTATCAATGATAAATATAATAAAAATTTATCAATTCTATTAAATATGATAAATGTATCATTCTTAAATATATAGAAAGATGATAGGAAGAAAAAACATGAGGAAATTTGATTTCTCATAAATAAAATATAATGAATTTTGATCCTCGAGTTTCATAAATAGATATGGGGAGAGGTATTATTTTTAGATGATGATCAAGGTGATTGTATTGCTCTTGGATTAAAGGTGATTGTATTTCAACAAAGATTAAAGGTATAATTTCAAAGACTTGCTTAGTAAATGTTTATGATCAAGAGTATATAATTCGGATTTGAGAGACATCAACGTGGATGTCTAGTAGTAATACATGTGATGGATGTTCATAAGAAGGTTCTACTTCGAATAATTACGAAGGAGGGGGGGGGGGGGGGGGGGAATCAATACAAGTGCATGAGATGCATGATGAAAATGATCCAGAACATGAGGAAGGTGAAATAAATGAACAAGGTGAAGAAGATGGTAAATTTCAAGAAACGCCAAAGTATGAGAATGAGATTGATGGAAAGTTTGTTGAAGTGAATTCCGATGAAGATATCGAATGGAGTGGGTAAAAAGAAATAAGTTGATGTTACCATGGTTCAAGAAACTAAACAAAAGAACAAGGATGCTTCCTGAAAAGAAGTGTCGAGTCGAAATTTTTTTAGTTCATCTCCTTCAAAACTTCCTGGTTTTGAATCAGTCCGAATTCAGAGGTCTAGATCTATAGATGGTGGGTTTTTCTCGACTAGAGCTTGTATCAATGGAAGCTGAAGGTTTGTATCGATCGAATACACTTCAAGTATAAAGAACAAAAGTAAACTAATCTAGGCAAACAATGAACAGAAAGTAAATAACACAGATAGTTCTCCGAATTGCCTTTCACCAAGAAAGGGTTTGTCTTCACCAAGAAGACGAATTGTCATAAAGACGATCACCAAGACAAACTCTCTACATTAGGGTTTACCCTAATGTAGATTATATACTAATCTATACAAGTATATCCCTTGATTGAAGATATTGTATCTTATCTATACTAAGAACCGATCTTCATAACAAAGATATCGGATCTGCTATCTATTCTATACTTATCTATATCATTACCTAATATACAAATTATTACATACAATAATTATAATAAGTGTTGACGCTGATAGATAGTGTGTAGAGTGTTTAAATCATCATATAATAAGATGTGACCTTACAATCTCCCCCTATCTAATGATGTCAAAAATAATCTTCTTCTTCAGAGTCATCAGAAGAACCATTGTAGAACTTGTCATCTTTATTCATGATCTAAGGCTTGACCCATCTGAATTCATCAATTTGAATCTCTTCCAATCTTTTACTAAGCTCAAGAGATATCAACACACAATATCCTCTTTCCAGTTCAAATTGACTAAGTCCTTCTATGCGAAGATGAAACAAGTGTTGAGTAGGAGCAGCATGAAGATCATCAGTGCATTGAAAGCACATGTGATTTTGACTGACAAGATAGAAATTTCCATGCTCCGGTTCTCGAATGAACATGTACAGAACCGGTTCAACACCCGTTGGTAGTTCATTTTTGATGTACCTAGTGCCATAAGGAAGAAGAAACCTGGTATTCTTGGATTGTCTAGGAGTATCTGCTCTTCCCGGGGAGGATGGTCTAGATAGACCAGTTGATGGCACAAGGTTCAGCTTCTTGACTTTGTTGAGTAGCTGCTGAATTGCCAACTTCACTTCCTAAGCATGAATACCCCTGTGTTTGTCAATAATTTCTTAAATTTTCATCCACTCGATGTAGCTAAATTTGACTAGCTCACGAGCAAATACAACCTCGATGTATTCATATTCAGTCTTCTTCCTGACCAAGTGAAGCTTCAGTGACTCGTTCCTTGGTTTGGTGCATCTCACTTTGATAATGGTATCAGGCTTTGTTGTTCGAGTCAGAACACCTCCAAACTTCTTCTTATCGATCCGGTCATTCAAGTCTGAAACCATGTGTTTTTTTCTCCACACTGTTATTGAAGAGCTGAATTTTATTGACTTGATCATTAGAGCTTTCATCAGCGGAAGCAAGAGCTTGAGCAAGTTTGGCAGACAAACGTTCTCCTTTCTAGGTTTTTTTTTTTTTGTCGAATAGCAACATTATTCTCAATCATGATCTCTCTTACTTCATCAAAAATTAAGCTCCATTTTTAGCTAATTCATTCATATCAAAGATAAGCTTGCTCTTCTTGCTTTTCTGGGAAGGAGGGGGTACTGAAGGATCACCAACAGTAGAAGAACTTCCAGCTTCAGCATCATAAGCTCCCCCTAAGAAGGAAGCCTTCCTCTTTCGAGGATTGACCTGATCATTATCAGAATCAATGTCACTATTAGTTCCATGAGGAACCTCCCCCTTAAAATATGAGTCAAGGTAGACGACATTCAAAGGAATAACAAAAACGACTTGTAGCATGAATTCTAGATCAATAAACCATTTATAATCACAGGTCTCTGATTGATCACCAATGTTTGGAATGGGCTGATTAGTTGTTGTATCAACGTCTGGAATGTCAGCTTCAACGATTCCAGTTTCAGACATCTCAGGCTGAGAAGGAGTTGGTGCAATCACCATAATTTGCATTCGCTCATCAGGTATCTCTTGATTATTCTCCCCCTTTTTGACAACATCAGATTGGGGAGGAGAACTAGGTGGTGGTGAAGGAGTGCGAGGAGGAGGATGAGATGGTGGAGGAGGTGGCAGAGGAAGATTTTTTGATGGAGGTGGAAGTGGAGGAGGCTTATCACCTGAAGAGTTTGGTGGGATGTCATCAACAACCATATCATCAACATCAACATCAACCAGTGCCATAAGCCGCTTCATGTCAGCCACATCCTTTTCAAATTTAGTCAAACTTTTTTCTAGTGATTGAGTAATCTGCATTATTAGAGAGACTTGAGAAAGCACAACAGTTTGAAAGTTGGAGCAGGATTCTTCCAGATCATCCTGATGAAAAGTAGCAATCTTGATAGGATTTGGCATAGGAGGAACAATCTCAACTTGAGGAGAAGGAGACGCTGGTTTTGGAGAAGTTTCATCTTGGATCATTGGTTCAGCAGTTTCCACAAAAAATGGGGTTCATCCACATTATACAACATCATCAGCAGAGGGAGAGGATGGAGTAGTAGATGAGAATCGATTGTGCTTGTTCATCCTTGGAGGAGAGTTCATTGCCTGAGCAAAGTATTCTCCCTTATCAGCGGCTGATTCTTCTTCATCCTTATCATGTTTATCAATGTCTTCTTCTTCATCAGCACCTTTTTATTACCAGCGTCTTCATCATCATCATTATCATCCTCATCATTCTCTTCTTCAGAGTTAGAGGATTCAACCCCATAGGGTTTTCAACCCATTTTTGCGTATTCTCAGTAATAAACACGTCACCTTTAGGTGGAGCAACCTTAATAATCTTTGAGGAGAGGGCATGAATTGGAATAATAATCCCATGACTTTCAACATAGCCTTCCTCACAAGATAAGATCAGTCCAAGCCAACGGGGATAGGGAACATGTACTGGCTTTTTGTTCCTAGTGATGCAATCAATCATCTGATTAGGAAAAAGTTGAGCAAAATCTAGTCTTTTGTTGTACTCATTAGAAAAGAAAATCCTTTGCTCAAAGAGATCCAGTTGATCCAAACTCCCAGTCTTGTGTCCAAGACATTTGCCAATAACACATGTTAGATACTTCCATCCTACATTAAAACACCGGTGAAGAGTGTTTTTGTATGGATCACGAGTGATGCCCTGAAGTTTGAAATTATACCCTAATTTTTCACGAACGGACTTGCAACTTTCTTCCGTGGGAGTTTTAGAGAAATTTTCAAATCGAGGAAGACGAAGAGCAGTTCGAAAAGCTTCCACATCAATAGTAACCCTATATTGGCCATCTCCAATGGTTCCAGTAACAGTTGGAGCATCATAATAAATAGAGCATGACTAGTAGAACTCACATACTTGTTTAGGGTATAATGGGTCTGGGAAGTCGCATAATGCATATCTAAGAGGACAACTCTTGACATAGTCGACAAAATCTTCGATTCCTGAGTTGGCGGACTGCTTTGGGATGTCATCAGAGAATGCCACATTGGTTGCTTGAATGATGATGGGAGAGTCAGGGGCATGTGGACCTTTGACAACATCAACGTTGGTGGCAAACTCGTATAGAGGCTTTGACATGGTGAAAGCTTTGAGAAAGATGATGGTTGAGAGAGTTTTTTTTTCGAGAGAGAGCCAATTGCTTGAATAGCTTGTAAAAGTGACCTAGGACGGAGAATTTCCAATTTATACCAAAAAGTTTCTTCCCTTTTACATAATTATGGTTGAAGAGATCGTCGTCGTAGAAATCCCGTATCCCAAGATATGGACAATTCTTTTAATCATTATCTAAAAGTTACCGTTGAGATAAGAAAGATACATCAGTGAGACACATCATCAGCAACAATAAATATCAACGTAATTGGCCAGCGAGTGAACTCATGATGTATACCCAGTAAGTTAGTGATGACTCCTGATAGTGTGGGCTTAAACTACCATTCACTGACATAGTTTTGCGAGATTTCATCAGCGTGTGGTTTCATACGCTGACTCATTAATCACTTTGATTAAAAGAAAAAAAGGCAAGAGTGGTATGATGCGTGTAATACAT